GGTTTTAATTTGCATCTCCCTTATTACGAGTGATGTTGAACATTTTTTCATATGCCTGTTGGCCATCTGCATTTCCTCTTTGGAGAAGTGTCTGTACCTTTATATAAGCTCTTTATCACAGTTAACACCCTTTTTCTCTAATATCAAATACATAATCTATTAAAAGTATTCATGTAATAAAAAAATTAGTGTACTTTCTGCTATTTTGTAGATGTTATACCTGAATAAAAAAGGGGAAAGGGCCCACCTCCATGCCCAAATAACAGTGTCTGTGATGGGAAAAGCAGTGTTAGACAAGAGTGCCCTGCCGCTGCCAGCTGGTCCTGTCACCAAGATTAGCTGGCACATACTCTGAGCCAGAGACTTCAGCAAGGATACAGTACAAAACCAGATTCACTCATGGCCCAGCAACTCCACCTCTTACTCTTCTTTCACAGAAGAAGTGAATGCACAGACTCAGCCAGATATTTGTTAGATTTTGTTGGAAAATAAATAGGTTCCCTTCAGTGGAACTGAAGTAAGCGTCTTGCATGTTTTTCCTTTGATCACATTAATGCAGCCTTGTCCTCTGTCAATTTAGTGAGGCTGCTTGGAAATTTCATTTTAGATTTTAGAAAGCTAAGTAGAAGTTCCTGAAACTCATCAAGTTGTGATACTTAATAGGGTGCTTGGATTAGAGTAGAATTTTTTTTTTCCTTTCACATTGATAATCAACACCTGTCAAAACCATTTTTACCAGAGCTTAAAAGGAAAAAAATGGTATCAGATACCAAGAAAAATGGCTCTCACACAGTACACATAATTTCCACACAGAAAAGTGTTGCTTTGCTGAAAAGCCTTTGTTATTGATTATTCACAATTAACCTTTCCATGCAGAAGTCACCTAAAAGCTACAGGAAGTCATTATGGCTTGACAGTTTTCAGCTAATGTGTTCATCACCCGAAGGGTTCTCATGGAACCTGTGGGCCCTGGGCTGCCTTTAGCAGGATTGGTGATGCCAGATAGCTCTTCTCTCAGTAGGAAAGAGGGCACAAATCCCCAAATGTGACTTTGTAGTAGAAGAGCCTGAAAATCTCAATGCAAAAGATTTAACCAACCTTGACAGCTAAGTTCCAGTCATCTGGACCTGAAATGTCTTTGAAAGAGAAAGTGTCAGAAGCAGTGTGCAGCTCCTGTTATATTATCGCTGCCCACATTTGGGCTATATTCCCATCACCTGAGAGTTCCCCAACCCCATCCTAGGGCACATTGGAGTCCCCTCGTCGTGTGCTCTGCTGCAGGCTTTGTGGAGATGGAAGAGTACAGACCTGGATTCAGCACATGGAGCCATCACTTCGGAGTCCCACCACACTCCCCTGGACTGTGAAGAGCTCTCTTCAGCTGCAAGCAGAATTCTTGCTGTTTGAGCATCATGTTTCCACCTTGTGCTAGCTACAGTTAGTGAAGCCCACACTCCACTGACTTTGAAAACCAGACTGTTCCCTGATCCCATACCTTCCTCACACATCTGGGAAATGTATGAAAACCAACCTGGGTCCTCTGTTCCTGGGAGACACCGGACTTTATGAGTGCAGCCCTGCGAAAGGCACCACAGCCTTCCAGCCCCTGCCATTGCGAGCTCCCCCAGGGTCTGTGCCGGCCACACCTCTTGCCTATTGCACTGTTCTCCCTCTATCAAATCCCCTTGATGATCTAGGACCGGAACAAGCAGTGGGGACCATTATCAGTAGGCAGATAGAGGGTCTTGTTTTGGTAGTTCAAGCCTTACAGGCTGAGGGCACTGTCTGCCTGGGGAGTGGCTGTTAGAGGTAAAGTCAAGTTACAGTAATAATAATAATAACTATAGCAGTAATAATAATTCCCTCATTTATTTGTCCTCGACAGCATTTTTATTTAAAAAATTTGGAAAATGCAGACAAAAGAAAATAAAATATCTTGTAGCTCCACCACACAGCTGTCTACCCAACTGGGACAAGCTAGTGTTCCCTATCTTTATTCATTTTGTTCAGTTTATACATTTATTGCCTTTATTTCCTTCTAAATATAACTTGCTATAATCCTTTATACTGTTATGATTTTTTTTATTACAAAGTTTATTTTTACATCATTTTGCACATTTTTTTATTCCATCTCGATTGTAATCCCCGCGGGTTTCCCATCACCAAATCACCCCT